CCGCCGCCGCCGCCGCCGCCTCCGCCGCTGCCGCAGGTCCCCGCCGCCACATCACTCCCTCCGGCTGTGGGCTCTGGAGAATCCCACCCGTGGTCATCTCTGCTAGCGGCCACTCGCTGCGTGCGGGGGGGAGCCTTCTGCCTTGACGTGCTCTCCCTCCGCTCCCTCCCCTTTGCTTGATGGCCTGGCTGCGGGCCCCTGCCAGCCTCTGCCCAGCCTTTCAAGCTCCAGACACTGTACCTCAGCGCTGGCCGCCTCCGCCTTCCCCTCCCCGCCCTGGGGCAGTCTGTCCTTGGCCTTTGCTCCTGCGGCCTCCTCTCTGGGAAGGCCCTTCCATCGTCCAGCCCCTTAGACCAAGGTCAGGGAGAGCCCCTTGCCCGAGTCTCCCTGTACGGCAGGCTGGACGCTGCCCTCCCTCCCTCCCAGGCCAGCCAGGCCAGGCAGGCCCGCAGACCCAGCACCCCAAGGGGCCCCGCCCAGTCTCATCTGGGCCTGTGGGGTCCGCAGGCTCATCCCCAACCCAGGGATTGGGCCAGGCTGTGGGGAGAGCTGACTTCTGGGCAGGTGCGTGGCGCTCCAGGAGCCTGGGTGGAGAGGAAGAGGGGTGCATTTGGGGGTGGGGTGGGCTGGTTAGCGGACCCCTCAGGATGCCTGGGCGCGGGGCCCTGGCAGGCCCCGAGACTGCTGGCTGGGGTTGCAGCTTAGAGGGGCCTCTAAGTTTTGCTGAGTCTGGCCTTGTGTGCCACGCTCAACGCCTCTGCTCCAGAGCCGGGGTAGCTGTCCCCTGCATTCTCGCAGGGAGGCCACAGTGTGCCCCGGCAGGTCAGCGCATCCCCCGGACAGTCACCTGAGGCTCCCACTACCCCACGGTCGCCAGCTCCTCGCCACCGCCTGCCGGGGCCCCCTCCCTTCCACGTCTCAGCCACCTGCGCCACCCCCATTCCCCACGCACCTCATGCTGCTCCCCTCTCCCGGAGAGCTCCTACTCACGCCTCGTGTCCTTCCCCCGGCCCCTCGTCCCTGTGCCAGGGCTGACCCCCAAACAGCACATCGTGCATGCGGTTTTCCCTCAGCACCACTTGCCGCTGGCGTCGGGGGGCCGTGGGTCTGAGAGGCAGCCCGGCTCTGGGGGAGCCCCTTGTCTTCCCGGGACGCTGTTTCCTGGCCCCCAGCCCGCTAGCGCTGTAAGATGCTGGGGGCTCCGTGGGGAGGCAGGACTGGGCCTGCTCTCCTGGTGTGCTGGGGACGGCCTGGGGTGAGCAGCTCGGGCCAGTTCTGAGACAGGCACCTGCCCAGCGCCCCCACACCCCTCCGTGTGCCGAGGTCAGGCGCTGGCTTCCCAAGGGCAGGGCGCCGCCACTCAAGCCTTGCTGGGCCAAAGTACCGGGGCTCCCCTTGTTCCTTCCTGGGCCGTGACTGGCCAGTGCTGCTCAGCAGGGCTTTCCCGTGGAAGTGGGGTGCCAGCCTTGGGGAGACTGGGGTGACTCTTGCATCCTGGTCTCCCTCGTCTGTCTCTGCCAAGGCAGTGGAGTCGCTGACCCATGCGTGTCCTGTGGCTGTGTGGTCTTGGCGAGAGGCTGCCTCTGAGCCCCGCGGGCACAGGTGGGCCGTGGTCTGTCTTCAGCCTGTGGGTATGCGAGTCTCAGGTGTGTGTCTGGACACGGGAGGCCCCACGTCGTGGGCGGTCCTGATGGGGACAGATGTGTGACAGGTGGCAACTCCCGCCAGCTGTCAGGTGCCTAGTCAGGGGCCCCTGAGGTCCTTCTCTGCCCGCAGTGCCAGCCCGGGAGCTGGGCATTCAGTGGGCGGGGCTGAGGGCAGGGGCTCCCGGAGCTGCGTCCGGCCGCCGTGCAGAGGATCCCCAGTCCACACGGTGGGGGCTGCCCCGCTGCTCCTGGGCTGTGGCTCTGGTGCGTCTTTCTCTTCTGCCCAGTGGCTGGGCGCAAGCAGCGTCCAGCCACGTGCTAGTAAAGCTCTGAGGGACGCCATGGCCGGAAGCGTGGCCAGCAGCCAGGTGCTGAGGGAGCAGGGCAGCTCAGACCACACTGACTGACTGACCTTGGGCAAGTCATGAACCGCTGGGTGCCAGCCCCTTTCTGGCTGAAGCTGGCTCTCAGTGCTGAAACCCCCACTCCTCCAGGAAGTGCCTCACTAGGGCCGGCACCACTTGGGGTGAGGATTATCTGAGCACCTGACAGGCAGGCGGCCTCTGGGGTGTGGGTGGGGCTCACGGAGTGGGGGGGCGTGGGAGCTTCTGAGTTGTAGGGGCCTGCTGACCCTTGCAATGGAAAGATGGCCTCCTCCCTTCCCTCCCCCACCGCTGTCTTGAGAAACCAGAGGCAAATTCTGGCGCCTCCAGCGGGACTGGAGACGCAGGAAGGCTGAGCTGGCTGGCAGCGGCTCCGCTTGTCTCCCAAGGGCCGGGCTGCGCAGGGCTGTGGCGGGCAGGGTGGCAGGGAAGGGTGTCCTGGGGCTCATGCTGTGAAGGGGGGTCGGGAGCCCCTCCTTTGCAGTGGCAAGGCAGGGAGCAGCCACGGAGCAAACGGCCCCCCATTCAGAACTGACCTGGAAGTCGCAGAGAGGGTGGGCGCGGAGGCTGGCGGGGCGGCGGCCCTAGAGTTCATTTCCCGAGCTGCAACAGGGTGCCTTGAACGCCTCGGCGTCCACAGAATGAACAGGGGAAGGTTCTGTTTTTCTTAATTGGAGCAGTTAGTGCCTGCCGAGCCCTTAAAAGGGCCGGGTGCTGGGCAGGACGGTCCAGCGCTGACCGCTCGCTGGCCGCCCGTGTGCATCGGTCAGGTTTTGCCAGCACCGACTGCCCTGCGTGTGTGCAGGGCCCGGGGCAGAGGCGTGTCCGAGGCCGCGCTGGGCTGTGCAGGCAGACCGGGGAGCCAGAAATCCTTCCTGCCGGCCCTAAAAGCAGCGCCCTGCCGGCCTCTGTCCTCCCGGCCACGCCCGGGGGAGACTCGTTGGCGCCCACTTTCCAGATGGGCACCAAGTGCCACGGCTGGCAGGTGGGGGCAGGCGCTGGAGCCCAGGCGGCCAGGTCTTCCGCCGTGTTTCCTCTGGTCGACGCTTCCCGCGTTCGCAGAATGTGGCCTGCGAGGTGCCAGTTTTTAAAGAAAATAATATAATAGTTTAATTTTACGTATTTTAGTACCTTTCTCAATCTCAGTGGTCATCCCTGTGGGCTTCCCATCACCAAGTCACCCTGTGCCGTCACCACAGTCCAGGGCACTTCCCTCCCCACTGTTTTTGACCCCGTTCCCCGCCCGGCCCCATAAGAAGTCTCTGGTCTGTAGCTGCTCACTGTTATTATTATTTTCTCGCCTGCTCCGTATACTCCTGCTATGAGCGAAACCACCCAGAATTTTCCTTTTCTCTCTGGCTTATCGCACTAAGCGTGATCCCTTCCAGCTCCATCCATGTTGCTGTAACAGGCGTGTGTTCATGTTTTTGTGGCTGCTGAGTAATATTCCATTGTGTGTATGGACCTCATCTTTTTGAGCGAGATGCCAGTTTTTAAAAATGTGCAGACAGTTCCTTAGTGGCCTGTGCCCCATCCGCTCTTAGAGTGCGTTTGTGTTCAGTACAGACGCTCAGTATTTCATAACCGCGGCCATCTCCGTTCTCCAGTGGATAGTAGTTCCCTGGCGCAAGCACGTTCCCGGGACCGGCTCACACTGCCCGGAAGCTGCCCATCCTGCAGACTCCAGCCCCCCAGCAGGCCCCGGCCGCCGGGAGAGGATGGGGCAGGGACGGCCGAAGGGCTGGCTGTGCCCTGAGCACGCGGCTGTGCCCTCTCCCTCGCGGCCGCTCCTCGGTCTTGGGGGCCTGTGGGGGCCGCTTCATTCACACGAGGTCCCACAAGTTTCTGCACGGCCCAGCGGACCCCCGAGGACCCAGAGCTGTGTGGAGGCTGACCCGTGCCGTCCCCTCCCCAGGTTCACCTTTGTGGAAGGCCCCCGCTAGGGAAGGAAGGGAGGTTCCGTGGCAGTACCCTCTGGCTGCCGCTCAGCAGTGGGGTGGAAAGTACAGGAGGTGGCCCTGGCGAGTGGTCAGGCCACGCTGTGCCGGGAGGCTCAGCTGTGTCCGTGCTTCGGCCCTTTTCACGGCTGAGTAGTATTCCACGCCGGGCGGCCCGTGTCTTGTTTACCCACCTGTTGCTTCCGGACACCCAGGCGTTCCTGCCTCCTGGCCCCTGGGAGTAGATGGGGCGGTGCTTTAAAGCGTCAAGGCTTTCTCTCCGGGCGTGGCCAAGCTCTCCCAGCGCTCTGCCCCGCCCCCACTATGCACCCCAGAGCCGTGGCCCCGCCTCCACCGGCACTGCTCGGGGACTGCCGGCCTTGACCTTGGCATTCGGAGAGACTTTGCTGGCACCTTGCTTTCGGAGATGGCGTGTGGGAGGACCCCAAGGCAGGAGGCGCTGCGAGGGCCCCAAGGGACCCGGAGAAGCAGCTGGCACCGTGCAAGGCGCCTGCCTTTCCGCGAGTCCCTGGGACACGCTGGCCTCTCTTCTTGGGTCTTTGTGTCCGCCGCTGGCAGTCTGGGACGCGCCTGCTGCCTCCGGGGCTGGCTTCTTTCCATCCTTGGCATTTTAGCTTGGACTTCCTGCCTGGGGAGGCTTTGCCGGCCTGCCCCAGATAGGTGCCTGCCTCCCCTCCACTGTTCTGCCCCCCATCGGCACCCTGTTTTCTTCTGAGATCATCAGACCCTTCGAATGGTTTTCTCACTAATGCACCTCCACCCTTGTGCCCTAAGTTAGCAAGGAGGCAGCGTGAAGGCAGGACCGTCGCCTGGCACCTGTCCCCTCCTCCCCCAGCACCAGCTGCTGGCCAGCGTCAAATCATCACTGTCTCGCCGGGAGTCAGCCGTGACTGACACCCTCGTGCGCCCCGTGGTGTGCTCTGGTGGCCAGAGCGTCTCACTCAGTCTCCCTGAGGCCCCTGAGACTCCCCGAGTCTCCTCTTGCTCAGGGGGTTGGTGTGAGGTCAGACGTGCTCTGTGCCGGCAGCCAGCCCCGACTGTAGCGGTGGGCCCTGCCCCTGGCCGGCAGCCTGCGATGGCTGGAGAAGCACTCGGCCCAGGAGGCAGGGGCCTTCGAACTTGGCGCTGCTGGCTCGCCCCGAGGTGGCCAGGGCACCAGCCCAGGAATTGAACCCCCCAATCTGGGGCCACTCGGGGCCACTGAGCTGCTCGGATGGGCGTGGGCTGGGGAGTGAGAAGGACACGCTGGATTCCGATGAATAGGAGAATGGGTGACACGTTAGCATTATTTTGGGGAAGATTTATTTATGCGTGCAAGAACTGGGGTGCAGGCCAGAGGTGCCGGCGGTGAGAGGCTTCACCAGAGACAGAGTGGGGAGCAGGACAGGCTGAGCCACTGAAACCACTGCTGAGGGGGCAGCGGGTGGGTCAGGAGAGGTCCTTGCCATCTTCGTGTAAGCTAAAATGCACTTAGTTTAGTGGAAAACAAACCAAAACATTGGCCAACTGTTCTCTGGAACCCAGACCGGGGTCATCTTGTTGCGTTGGCCCGATTTCCCGCTTTCTGCCACGGGGCTCCTCAGAAGCTTTTCTTTCTGGAAGTCGGCAGGGCCGCTCCCTGGGCCCTGGGCCGGGGCAGCTGGGTCACGAGCTCATTAAACTCGGCAGCAACTGGCTCTCCGTGGCGAGTCTTAGCGACTTCTGGGACCAGCACTGCTGGGTTCTTGCCAGCCGGACCCTTGTTTTGCAGAAACTGCACTACCCATCTGCTGACGCCACCAGGCAAGTGGGTGCTTTGCTGATGTCATCTGTGTCCCTAGAAGTGTGCAGGTCACCCAGGATGAGCCCAAGTTAGGGCGACCCAAGTGCTCTTGGCCACCCCCCCGCCCCCAGTTTTCTACAGGGATCACTAAAAATCAGTGTAAAACTCTTCAGAGCAAAGACGCAAACACGCCTCCCCTCCCCCCCATAGGCTACCGGAGCTGGGAGTGGCCCCGCCAGCAGGCGGGGGAGGTGCTGGGCCCCCGGATCTGATGGGGCCGCGACAGGGACTGTGAATTTGGGGTTTCACGATTCACAAGCTCCTGGGTTGTAGCTTCCGCTCACGTCTGTTGCTAAGCAACGGCTCGTAGGTGCACCGAGGCCAGAGCCGGGCATGGGGTGCTGAATCTCAGGCAGGGACGGGGTGGCCTGTTCAGGGCGGTGTCTGGCCTGCTTATTTGGCGGGTGCAGTGGACCACTGTCCACTGGTGTCTTTAGCATCTGTGCCAAGCGATGCAGGAGCGAAGCCTGGACAGCGAACACCCCCTTCTCCGAGTTCGGACTGTCCCGTGCCACTTGGGTCTGAAGCTCCCTTTGCACTCCCAGTCTGCGTGTCACGAGGTCACCCCTCAAACACTGGACGGCCCCGTCCCCCCGCCGTTTCCAAAGGTGAAGTTGAAGCCTCAGATCTTCTGCCCCAGGAAGCTGGCACTGGAAGTTTCTGTCGATGATGTTATGTGGTTATTGGATGAAGAATTGATTTGTTCTTGTTTACTGGCGCCATAGAGGAAAAGATTCATGATTAACGTGAAATCAGCCATTTCAGAAACTAAAAAGTAGTCACAAGTAATTTT